TTAAGGCGACTGAAAAACGAATATGCAAATGATTCCACACACGTATGCATTGCATAATCAAAGTTTCAGCATAAAAATCACGTATAGGAGCAGTGTTAGCTTGTAAAACGACAAAATGTATGTTTGTTACTCATTCACGCCTAAACTATTTAACCGATTTTTATAAAAACTTGCAATAATATAGTTTATAGTTATAAAAATAACATAGGCTATTTTTTATTCAGATAAAATTATTTTAAGGGTGTTAAATAAGGGTTGAAAGTAAAAAATAAAGTTTATATTTGAAATTATAAAAAATTATTTTAAAATGAATATGATGCTTGATGGTTTATAGATTTAAAGATTATGTCGATTAGGTTATGTTAACGTATTTTAAGTTAAGGTAACTTCACACGTCATAGAAACTGGAAACTAAGTTTTGGTTCGAGTTTTCAAACTACTACCAATTAATCAAATAGCAAACTTATCACAAAAAAATCAAAATCAATTATCTAAACTAGATTTGTTTGTCTGGCAATTTCAACGAAAAGTAAACTTATTAATTTCGCCCTTGAAAATATCCCGTGCAGAACGTAAATAATGTATTTATAATTTGTCCATAACAAAGTACATGCATAAATTGTGTAGCGTTGAATTTTATTGCAGTTTTCGAAATTTATTGATTCAATCGGACGGTTTATTTAAACCTAAACTGTTGCATACAATGAACATGGTGTACAATGTAGTGTGCGCTATTGAAATGTAGATATAGATAAATCGACAGAAATTCACAAAACTCGGCGGTGTTTCGCCCGTGGTGCTTTGGGCGAAAATTGCAGACGTGTTGGAAATTTAAGTTTATTGGGAGCATTGTGCGAGCGCTTCTTAGATTCCGACCATTTTGCATTTCCAGCGCTATTCAGTATTTACCCATTATGATGTCAGTCAAAAAACGGTCGAAGGCGTCGCGGATTACGATCAACCGGCGATTGGAATATGGATTTGAAAGGAATTCGATTATGCGGTGTACGACAACTGAAAAAACACCATTTCAACACTCGGCAAAAAACTTCCAAGATTTTTTTCCTCCTTTTTTAATTTATTTTTGACCAAGCGTGGAATTAATATTTTCGCTGATGGTCGTGTGCGGTAGTTGTGGCACAGGGATGTTTTCTGGGACAAAGAGCAGAATTCCTCGTCGACGGGTTTTTGTTTCGAAATTTCATTACATGTGCTCCAAACGATATAGTCACTCGTATAAAGCTCGTTACCGAATGTAAAATTGCTTCGCGCGGCGGGCGACATGTCGGGTGTTCGTCGACAAGAACGGACATTAGTCAAAGCGTCGACGTTCACACACTAGTTACACTCGAAAATATACACCAATTGTTGAAATAAAATTCCAATTTTCCGGTTTTCCGGTTTTACTCATATTCACTCCCCACACCTAAAAACATATTCTGGACATAATTAAACACACTTCCGGTTTTCCGGTTTAACATTTTCTTTACCTTCTATAGTAATTTCCAAAAGCTTACTTTAAAACACATCCGCGTGAGGCGAAGTTACACAACAATTTGTATAGTATCGCTTCACCGGAAGTTGAAGTTTCGGTGTAGCTTTCTATACAGCAATTCGTACGTCGGGGATGTTTGGCCGTTTGTTATTACGAGCATGCCGTCGATGTCGCCCGCGCATTTTTGCATCGATGCGCGCAGCTTCCTGTCGTTGGCACATTTGCTGCGGGGGCGGCAACTCACACGCATACACAAACATACGACAAGGAACTGCATTCCGGGCGTCATAATGTTTTGCGGTAATCTGACGTACGTGAGCATCATTGTTATTCCCCGGAGAAATCACGCTCGCCAACCATTTACGAGCGAGACCAAAACCCGGATGTCGCTTCATTCAATACCCAACCCCTATTTCTCTCCCGCCACACGTACGAAACATTGACTGAACAATTGCGTTAATATAATTTGCAGGAAAAGAAGTAAAATAAATAAATTTATGATTTTAATTTTTTTTGGTTTGAAATAAAAAAATTATAAGGGTGAAAACTACCCTTATTAGATTTAATACCCCTATGGGTGTATTAGGTTTATACTTGACAATTGGCCGTCCCCTAAAGTCTAAAGTGTTGAAATGGAAACGTCGAAACAAAGCGCTCGGACAATGCCCTTTACGCTGAAAGGGCTGATTTCTGAATAGGGGATGCTGTCCAAGATATTGAATTCATGTTGAATATATCTTGCTCAAACAGAAACGGTGGTTAGTTTCAACTCATAGAAGATCAGCACCGAAACATTGAATAAATCTCATCTGGTTGATGATTATCATCGGTTAAGGATATGTTATTTTACCCTAATGGCGGCAATTTAACCGCACTTCACTTATATGGGCGGAGCAAAATTAATAAGGTAAGGTACGCGATTTTTGATAAAATTTTGATATTTTTGCTTGAATGTACTTTTTGCGTACCAAAGAAAAGCTTGAAATTGGATGCTTGAGCTTTTCTCATTTTTTCCTGTGACTCTTACGCCAACGCAGCAACTCTGCGCCCTATTTTTCCACCTCACTACGATTCCTGATCGTTATTATGTTTGCCAGGGCTTAATAAAGCTTTTAAATATTTCCGAGAAAAAAGCTCTATTTAAATACGAGAAATAATCTTATTTTATTCTTAGAATAGAAATAAAAATATTTATGTTAAATGCTATTTATTAACAATACTTAGGGATATGAAGCTAATCAAATGTTTATTTTTTTGTTGTGGGTGTGTGATGAAAGCGGTGCGCTTTTGGGTCTTGCGTAAAACGTCCACAAAGCGGAGTAAAATTGGCAGCAGGACAATGTACACAAAGAGGTAATGCGCTTAACAGTACACCGCGGAATCTGAATTTTAAATTCGCGCACACCAGAACCAAGAAAGTGACGAAGATGTTAATTCGCGTTTGGCAGCAGCGCGCGGCAAATCCCCTCCGCCATTCATCTTAATTCTGCAACGGCGCGGCATTGTTTGGAGCTGCTCTGGTGAAAGCTCCGTGTTTTTCACGACCCAAACGCATGCACACATCAAGCACATCACATCAATCTAGCTATGTTTAAACTTGCAGCAAAAAGTATGAACGTTTAAGCCCCGCCTATTAATAGCTCTCAAATATGCCAAAATGAGACGCAATTTTTACTGAACTTTGATAACGATTATCCCGTAAACCAAAAGCAATAGAGACAAACACCAAAGACTTAATCTGCCAAAACAATCTCTATAAGACAATTATATATCGTAAAAACGCGACTAAATGTGCCAGAAAGTGTTTCAATTTTTACCTATTTTCAATTTTGAATATCTCGTAAACCAAAAGAGATAATTTGGATCTGATCGCAGCGTCTTAATGTTAATTATTCTCTATAAGATAGGCTAGTTAAACGGAAATCTGAGATGAAATTTTAATTTTAAGAAAAATTGCCAAGGGGGTGCTTGATACTTTTTCGACGATTTTCACACCAATACTTCCTAAACCAAAGAGATAGCCACCAAACGAATAGCTGATTATGAAAGATTGAAAATTCTAATCAGATAGCCAAATATAGAATAATTGTTTTTCCCACAGGAAAAGGTCGAAAATGCGATCAGCGCTAAAAGTGACATTTTTCAATCTTTTAGTCATTTTTTCAAAACGCGAATATCTCGTAAACTAAAAGAGATAAATAGGATCTGTCGCGTTGCCCTAATCAGCGGACTATTCTCTTATAAGATAGATAGTTAAAACGGAAATCTGACAGATAAAATTTTCATTCTTAAGGAAAAAATTCGCTGGCGGCAAGCTTGATACTTTTTCTCGACGATTTTCAATAATTAATACCTATTAAATTAAAAGAGATAGCTACCAACGAATTGCTGATTATGAAAGATTGGAAAACTCTTAATCAGATAAAAATATAAAATAATTATATTTCCTACAGGAAAAGGTCGAAAAACGCAACTGAAAGTGCTAAAAAGTGACATTTTTCAATTTTTGGCAATTTTTTTCAAACGCGAATATCTCGTAAACTAAAAGAGATAAATAGGATCTGATCGCAGCGTCTTAATCAGCGAATTATTCTCTATAAGATAGGATAGATAAAACAGCAATCGGTGAAATAAAATTTTCATTCTTAAGAAAAAAATTGCCAATGGGGGGTGCTTGATACTTTTTTTCGACGATTTTCAATAATTAATATCTCTTAAATTAAAAGAGATAGCTACCAACGAATTGTTGATTATGAAAGATTGGAAGATTCTCTATCAGATAAAAATATAAAATAATTGTATTTCCGACAGGAAATGGTCGAAAAACGCAACTGAAAGTGCTAAAAAGTGACATTTTTCAATTTTTGGCAATTTTTTTCAAACGCGAATATCTCGTGAACTAAAAGAGATAAATAGGATCTGATCGCAGCGTCTTAATCAGCGTTCTATTCTCTATAAGACAGCTTAGATAAAACTGAAATCTGAGAGATAAAATTTTCATTCTTAAGAAAAAAATTACCAATGGGGGGTGCTTGATACTTTTTTTCGACGATTTTCAATAATTAATATCTCTTAAATTAAGAGCGATAGCGACCAACGAATTGCTGATTAAGAAAGATTGGAAAATTCTTAATCAAGTAAAAATATAAAATAATTGTATTTCCTACAGGAAAACGTCGAAAAACGCAACTAAAAGTGCTAAAAAGTGACATTTTTCAATTTTTGACAATTTTTTTAATTGCAAATATCTCGTTTACTAAAAGAGATAAGAGATGAAACACTTTTAATCCACGTCAAATTCTCTATGAGATAATCTGACGCCATTTTTGACCCTTTTTGCGTTTTGTTAGTATAATAATTTTGAAAAATAAACTGAAATAATGCGCGAGTCACCCCTTGAGATAACGAGGCCCCAAAGTAAATACAGGGGTTGTAGACTTGAGGGATGAACACTGCAAGAACTAGAAAGATGATTAAATTATGACGAAATGTTTGTCTTTTGCAGGAGCAGGCGCCGGGGCGCACGACGCGCCCGCCGCGAGCGTCGGCAGCGTCAGCCTCGCCTCGAAGAAGTTCCGAGACTTCCTGCAGGAGTGGCCGACCCCCGGGACGGGACCATATTTCGACACGAGCATAAATTCAAATATCACCGGCCTCGTTGGGAAAACCGTAATGCTGCACTGCCGAGTGAAGAATCTCGGCAACCGAACGGTACGCAGCGAGCTTTTTATTATTAAATATAAAAAAAATCCGATCGTAAAAAAACTGAAAGAGGAAATTCGACCATACAACCCTTAGCGCCGGGGAATATTGACAATTTTGAAGGTTTCGACGCATGACTTGGCTGCAGGATGTCACTTACAGCAGGTTTCATCACCCAAGGGCAAAAGGGATGCTGAAATTCATTCGGTCGCAATTAACAGGCGATAAAAGTGTGCGGCGACGGGCGTGTAATTAATTATTCAGCACGGGTCCTAAGTAACTAAGGGCTGTAGGGCCACTTTTTGTTCTGACAGAAATTGGGCATTGATAATGACGCCGTTTGTGATCTACGACAATCACTTTGATCTATATTCACCAAAACTCCATCAACAAAAATAAAAATTCATCAAAATTACATTTTAGCACCGCCTATTAATAGCTCTCAATAACCACGCCCATAATGAAAGCACTTTAATATTTTAATTAAAAATTCAATAGAATGGTAAAAATTTCGTGCTCAATGCGTACTTGACGATGAAAAGTTTTTTTCCTCGCCTGGCGAAAATTACCCCTTTCTACGCTTTTCGCTTTTTAGTTTTTTTTTTGCACGGGTTGTAGTAAAACCCTTTTTTTATTCCGGTCGTTAATTAGAATACCGGACTGAAAATTAAACTGCATCGTTGCATTCAAACGCGGCGCGGTGCTTAGCGCCGCCGAGCGCGGACAATTTCCCCAACAACTTTTAATAGGATTTATTTTATGCGATTCGTGTATGGGACGCGCAAATGAGATGCGCTTTTTCAACAGAGGGCGTAATTTATTTCAGAAGAAATTAGTTTCGCATTACGGCTTCGACAATATATTTCAGTGTTTTTCAATTAAACATTCGTATTTTGCACAGAAAAAATAAAAAAGTACGCAAACATTCACTGCAAGGACTTATAAATTAAACAGAACTTTATTTAAGCCCCGCCTATTAATAGCTCTTAAATTATATAACTATTTTTTAAATATTTTTTGTAGAAATCAATTTTAATCGATTTTTAGAAACGTTTTTAATGTTTTTTTGTTATAAAATTAGTTTTTTGAAAAAATATTAAACAATAATGCAATGTAAGCCCCGCCCAAAAATAGCTCTGAATATTTATAGCATTTTTATTACAAAAAATATATAAAAATGACTTTTTATCAATTTTTTTACATTTTTAAAAGTTATTTTCATTTTAATTCCTTTTTATTTAAAAATTATTGCGTTATGAAACATTTTGTGCCCCGCCCATGAATAGCTAAGCAAGCAAACATGCTCTGTGTGTAAAACATTAGTGATTTAGTGTGCGTGTGCTTTTTTGATGTTTTGAATAGCCATCGAGAAGAATGCGAATGAAAGAGGGTTTTAATTAACACGAACGAGCGCGTGGGAAACTGGAAAACGCCAAAGCGTCAAGCGGCGTGTAATAATTTGTTTTCGCGTGCGGTAAAACACGCGAGCGCCGCCACCGCCGCCGCCGAAACTCGTAATTAGCGAAAGAGATTGAAGCGTGTCGTGATGGCGGCCGAAAACTGGGTTACGTACGTGTCGGACTTTGTTCATAACCGTCTCTAAGCGGCTCCACTCGCGTATTTTTCCGTTTCTCGCCGGATAAAGGAGCCGCCGGTACTAATCATTCAAAACTGTCACGATAACGGCGCGGAAGGGGCCAAACTGTAACATAATATCCGTGTTGGCAAAATATATGTGCATTAAAAAGTTTTCCCAAGAAACAACAACTCCTTTCATCTTCAATTCTTCCCGATAATGAAATTAATCGAAAAATAACAAACAACAAACAATAATGTAATTAATATCTTACAAAGGTTGCAAAGAAGGTTTTTGTAGAATTTTTATTTTTTGCAAAAAGCTTCGGGGAATTGCGGGTTTGGTTTCCATTTGGCTGTGTGCCAAATAATCATTGCGGAAATCGAAAATCCTAACTTATTTCGAAGGGCGAAGGACGACGCGAACGAATAGCCGGGCGTTATGAGACGATGGTCCGGCACTAAGTCCAAGAATCCATCTTGCTTCCACCCAGCAATCATTACCATATCTCTTCAAGTGTTGTAAAACCTTTTGGAATTTATTAAACAGTATATAAAATATTTTACTTTTGCCATAAAATAAAAATTTATAATATATTTTAAGTCCCGAATTTTTTTTTCATAAAACTCACTTTTTGCTATAATATTGTGGTTTTGAAAATTTTTAAGCCGCTCCAAAAATAGCTCTAAATTCAAATACGCCTTTTTTTTCAATTTTTGATTAATAATTATTTTTAGAACAACGATAAAATCAAAATTTGAAGATTTTTGAAAATCAATTTTTGTTTTTTTCGATAAAATATTCCAATTCAAAACATTTTTAAGCTCCGCCCATTAATAGCTCTGAGTTCAAATAAAACGTTTTTCCTACTTTTTCATCAAAAATTATTACAAATCAACGTCAAAACCAAAATTTGAAGTTTTGAGAAATAAATTTTTTGTTTTCTATAAAATATTCAAATTCAAAGAATTTTAAGCCCCGCCCAAAATAGCTCGAAGTTTTGAATGAAGTTTTTCCTACTTTTTCAACAAAAAATATTTTTAATTAACCTAAAACCACACAGTTTAAAAGTTTTTTAAAAAACAAATTTTGTTTTCAACAAATAATTTCCAATTTGGAGAATTTTATGCCCCGCCCTATAATAGCTCTTATATTGTACTGGGTTTTTCTTGTTTGTGGTCAATATAAAAATCTTTATTTTATACCAAGTCAAGAAAAGCTCTAAAAACTTTGGAGGAATTGCGCACTTGTTAATAAACGTACCGAGGTTGCTCCTGGGTTAATTCCATCTAACGCTGATAATGGCGCTGATAAAGACCTACGCTTTCACGCTGGCGAGCGTATCCAATATATTAAAGTCGTCTTAATGCCGCTTTCGCCCAGAGGCGAGTCAATGATGCTCAACAACGAATTTCAACGCTTTAAACGCCAAAAATCACCCAGCTACAATCACACATTATTTTTATGCCCATGTTTTTGGAAAAATATATTTTTATATGACTAATGTTGTTGTTTTGATCATTATGAACTAATTTTACCAGAAAGCAATATTTTGACGATTGGATTGATGATATTTCTATGTTTATATCCCCAGATGTCAGTTTTGTCATATTAATTTAAGCGGATGTCTTGATGTCGTCTAAGCATAGCATTTTTTTGATTTTCGTCGAGTTTCACTCACACTGTCTTTCTTGCAGTGTTCGGCGCAGTGATATTGTTGTTTCCTTGTTGCTTTGTTGGCCAGCCTGGCGTTTCCTCTTTTGTATTAGGTCGTAAGAGCCGAGACGCTAAAAGTCGAGTTCGCTTTATTGGATTTTCGGACGAAAGCACGTCGTTAATACCGAGTTTTTTACGTCGTTGCGTTTTCTTTTCTTGCTTGCCGCCCACTCGAATTGTCGGGCGTCGTTGATTCCAACCGCACTATTACATTACTTATATTAACTTTCATATTTTAACACCTAAGAAACCTAGAGCAGCAAAAAATTAGATGAAAAAATGGAAAAAATTAATTTTTTTTCCAAAAAATTAGAAAAAAAATTATTTTTTGTTAAAAATTTAGAAAAAAAATTAATAATTCTGTGGAAAAGTTGTAATTTGTTGATATAATAATGAAATTATTTATGTTTTTATTTTTTAACATCTTAAAAATCAAAAATTAACAAAAAATAAATGAAAAATTGAAAAAAAATTATTTTTTGCAAAAAATTTAGAAAAAAATTAATAATTTTGTGGAAAAGTGGTAATTTGTTGATATAATAATGAAATTAATTAAGTTTTTATTTTTTAAAACCGGAAAATCCAGAAATGAGCAAAAAATAAATGAAAATTTGAAAAAAAATATTTTTTGCAAAAAAAAATTTAGAAAAAAATATATTTTTTGTTATAATGTTTAAATTTGCTGATATGACAAACAAATTAATGAAATTGTTATTTTTATCACCTTAGAAACTAAAAATCAGCAAAAAATTGATGAAAATTTGAAAAATTTTATTTTTTGCAAAAAATTTAGCAAAAAAAAAATCAATATTTTCCGTTGGAATGTAGGAATACGTTGATATGATAATCAAAACCATCAGTGAGGAAATTCACATGTTTGCACACATCCGGCTAGATAATATTTCCACGCCATGAAAATGATATTCTTTCGCGTCGGGCGTCTTGTAGCCACCTCGAGGCCATCTAAAATTCGGCGGCTGGTGGGTAGCACAGCTTCGTTGGCCATTACGTGTAGGGCTATTAATTGCGGGCGAGCTGCCTGTTCCAATTCCCCTGTATCCTAAACTCTCATAAAAGTTTCGGCTGGCAGTATGATAGGCGCGGCGTTTGCTTAATATTCTCAAGCCGCAAGCAGCACCTGCATCCAAAGTCTTCAAATTTTTTGCAAAAAAGCAGAAAAAATTAATTAAAAATTAATTGAGTGTTTGATCAAGTTATAGAGTTTCAGGTGAATGTAAATTTAGAAAATTATTACTTGCTGATAATAAATTATTTGGTTTTTGGGAAAAAAAAGCAAAAAATTAATTTTGGGAAGTTTTTTCTTTTAAAATTGCAAAAAGCAAATGTTTGGGTTATTTTTTTGGTTTTAGATGCAAGAAAATTTTGCTAGATTATAAAGAATAGTACAACGTAGATAAAAAAAAGTAAATTTGGGCTAAAAAAAAATTATTATCAGGAAAATAATTTTTTTCCCCAAAAAAATCTAATTTTTTGCAAAAAAAATTATAAAAATCATAAAAAAATATAAAAATTTTAATTAAAAATTAATTGAATGTTTGATCAAGTTATAGAGTTTCAGGTAAATGTACATTTTAAAAATTATTACTGGTTGATAATTAATTATAGATTTTGACGTCTTTAAAATCGTTTTAGTCGGGTGACATGTTCTGAAACTTGTGTCACGAGGCCTCCCAAGGCCGATCGCAGGTATACCCCC